CAGCCTAACCCCCCCCCCCATGCAGCCACAGTCCCAGCCTACAGCAGCAGCTCACCCTGCCTGCGCAGATCCAGGGGCACCCCCGGATGAGGTACGGATCTATCCCATGCCCCGCCCTGGCTGAACAGTACCTGCCCTACCCTCAGCCCCACTCCCTCACTGCAGGGGCCTTGATCTGCCCCCTGCCTTCCCTTCCACCTCCCCTTCCACAACAGACTTATCAGCTGGAAGCGGCTCTTCAAGCTGCAGGGCTGTGAATCGGAAGTCGGCCTGGTATAGGCCAATATGCCTCCTTAAAAATCAGCTATCAGTATTAGTCCCAAAAATCTCCACTGGTGCAACCCTACACATTAGATCAGGGGCAGGCAATTAGTTTGGGCAGAGGGCCCGCATACTGAGTTTTGGCAAGCCATTGATGGCTGCATGACAGGCAGCCAGGGGCAGATAAATATTAATTTTCTAAATTTTTTAGGAGCCCCACAGGCCACATAGAAAGGGCTGGCGGGCCGCATCTGGCCCACAGACCGCATTTTCCCCACCCCTGCATTAGATTAATCTTATGCGCAGTCAAACATCACCATCTATATGTGTGCAGCAATTACTGCACAGTATATTTGTCTAATGCATCATTTTCAAGTACCAGGACAGCTCCCCCTGCCCTCCCAAGGCTTGGGGCCAGCCCCATCTCTCCCAGCTGGGACAGACCTACCCACTGAGCCAGGATAGCTTCCTCTGCTCTCCAGAGCTCAGGGCTCAGCCCCCATGTCCCCTGCCAGAACTGGCGCCTGGGGAAACCTGGAGCTTCCTTGGCTGCTGCTCCTGTCCGGTTCAATTTGCTCATGACACGGGCTCATGTGTAGACGTGTGCATAGGAGCACTTTAAGAGAGTAGAGAACAATAGTAGACTTTAGATGTAAACTTGATGTTCGTGGGAGTATAATAGGGTATAAGGGCACAGGCTGGAGGAGACAGGGCAGAAGACTCTATCCACTAAAGAACACACCTCTCAAAATTCCAGAGCAGAGCTCACGAGTTCTAGGTCCCATCCCACATCCTTTTTTAAACCAATTATAAAGTATTGCACTCTAGTGGCTAGGCCACCTAGTAGATAATTCTATAAACTGCTAGCAACTGACCTATTAATTCATATAGCAGAGGTACTGTTTATGGATTAAAATGCTCAGTGAAGGCTAATACAGTTTCATGTAATTGAATGCTTACTATTATTTTCACAAACTCTTGCAATATTCTGTACGCAAGGAATTAATCAAAGTTTGCTATTATTTAGCTGTTGTATGCCTGACCCCACCACACTTGTTACAGAAGTTAGGCAATAAAAGGGGCAAGGGAGAAAAGGAAAAGAAGGGCTGGTTCTGTGGTTTAGTAGCTAAACCTCTCTCTGAAGGAATGGATCCTAATGTTGTGTCTTAACAACATTTCTTATGTAACAGATTTGTCACAGGTAGCTCCTGTGTGCACCTCACCTGCAGACCCGATGAACACTCAACTGCAACTGAAGTCACTAAAAGTTTTAAATATAATATAAAGTGCTACAAGAATGTTAAGTGCTCTGAAGAAATCAGGTCCTAGTATCTAGTCAGGTCCTAGTCAGCACCCAAAATTAACAGATTCAGTGGTTAAGGCCAAAATCATTGCGTCTCAGATATAATATGGAGACTACATCTTACTTCATCAAAGGATGGTTGTGAAATACTATGACATCATATTGTGTTGCTACTTAATTAAGGAACTTTCTAGTCTTTGATGGCCTGAATTTGACTACCTTTTTCTCATACATATTTTGTTTTAGAAAAAAAGTGGTAAGATTAAGTTGGCTAACCCTTTGGGGAACCTGAGAATCTTTGAATAATCATTATATTAACTAATGGAAGAGCTGGTTGATGTAGTATATTGGCACCAATATAGTTTGATAGTTCCACAAACGACAGTGAAGTATTTTATACGTAACTATATAAACTGTATTAAAACCTGATATTTAGAGTATAACACCGATGAGGAGAAAAAAATAAAAACAAGCCTTTTATACATAAACAACATAAAAGCTTTGGATATTGTACAAATGCTTAAAATAACTATAACTTTATGGTTAAGAAAGTTGAGAGAGATATTTTGTTTTATGAGAAAATTAAAAAAAAAAGGTTACCTTTCTATTGTTGGTATAAGGGAAGGTGGTGGACCTCCAGGAGGGGGTGGAAAGCCTGTAATATTAAATTGGAAAACATCACAAATTGGCTGTTAAAACAAATCTTTTCTTTGCAAAGGAAAGGGTTGGGGGGAAATAGCAAAATATGAACTATTTTAAGTAACTGACATACAGAATATTCAAGAGTATTATAACTATTCCACATCTATCTTGCCAAAAACCAACTGGGCCTACGGCTTCATGTACAGCAGTGTATTTATATACTTACCTACTGATATAAACCAGGAACATAAGCAACTTTGTGTTCTACATTCAAGCTCTACATTTCTTAATAAAATTTCAGAAAATATCTAAATAAATTTACCTGGTGGTGGCACAGTTATTGGTATACCTAAAAAAAAAAAAGATGGAAAACTAATCAATTTTTAGTAATAACTAGAGTTCATTATCTGGAAATACAGTAAATATTATGTCATCACATCATGTACAAACAGAGGCATTAGTACCTCATTTCCAGGCCCTCAGAATAGGAAGAGATATTGCTATAGATTCCATCAAAACAACAAAACCAAAATCCAGTATGAATCTTGACAACAAAGTTAATTTTTTTTTCAAACTAAGCCTCAAGTGCACTTAATAAATTACAAAAATAAAAAAACCCAAATAATCCTCCAACAATGCACAAATTTAAGTCTCATGATTTTTGGAGGGAGAAGAGTAGCTGAATCATGGAATTTTAATGCTTAGGGTTGGAAGAACTGACTTTAACTTCAGCAGGCAGGAAGTAGTTCTATGAAGTCTCCAACTAATGTCATACTATTCTACATCTATTAATTCTGCATGGTTAAAAAATTAAAATCAACATTTTCCTTTTACAGCCAACTAGTAAGCATGTTCCATCTAAAGTAGTGGTTCTCAACCTTTTGCACCTTATGTCCTACCAACCATTTTGTCAAAAAAACCCTGGTCCCACCATGATAAAAACAAAACTCCACAAAATTGCACTGTTCAAGATATCTGTTGATTCATCTGTTTGAAGTGCAAACAACTGATTCAATCAGGCAATGAGTTGAAGTCCCACCTACACAACCTTCGCATCCCACTGGTTGAGAAACACTGCTCTAAAGCAGCCACATGCAGAAATTACTTGTTCTGTTTCTGTGCTTTCAAAATGCATTAAAAAAAGAAATTATGATTTTTGGGAGCAAAGTTTAATTATGTACACTAAAACGTCCCATAAAACTAACTTAAGTTACAACCAAATACATTACTCTGATTGGGCTCCAATCTAAAGTCCGTTGAATTCAATAGAATGATTTCCATTGACTTCAATGGGCTTTGGATCAGGCCATAGCACCTTATTCTGCAAACCTCACTTACTCATGGGGGATACCATACTGAATATTTCAGACTGTTTGTGATTTCATGAAATGCTCTCTAATGAAGTGAGTTCTTGCTCACAAAAGCTTATGCATCTCTAATTCAGTTAGTCTGCAAGGTGCATCTTATATCCTGCCCTCTGCTTGACTACAGATAAACATAGCTAACTACCTCTCTTTACTTTTGAGAGTATTTCTATAGGTTTAAAAGGGAAGACTTTTTGCAGTACCACAGCTTAAGATATTAAGGTCAAAATTTTCAAACTTAGTGTCTAAAAGTTCATGCCTCTAACTGAGATCAACAAGCTAATCCTCCACATATCTTTCAGCAGGAATTAGGGGAACTCACCATATCTGCAAGTCAATTCACTTTCCTTACGTGCCTAAAAATAAAGGGTCCAACCACAGGTACCCACATTCAAAAACTTTAGCCTGCATGTCTTTGCTGAATGTATTAAAAAACTGCTTGAATACAGTCCACAGGCAAGACAGTGTAGTTAATATTTGGTTTAAAACAAAAACCAATGTCTAAAATATAGCTAAAAACAGAATATAATGTTCTGCTTGAAAGATGATGATTTATTTCAATATAAGTGGATTTACAGAAAGTTCCTTGAATTATAAAAACACGAAGTCTGAAATACTCAACTACAATATGAAAACATCTGCTAATAATTTGTTAGACTGTTACAAGAATCCAGATGTGAATATTCTTAACACAGTAAGGACATTCTCAAAAAACAAAAACTGAAGAAATTAGGGATAATTTAAAATATGCATTTTCCATCAACAGCTATTTCAAAAACCGAACTGAACAATTATCCAAATAATCCATACACCAAACATTTGTTTTAAAATAATGTCCCATCCTTCTCATGTATGTACAAATAAATCCAAATTGAAGATTTAAAAGGTACCAGAACAGTCAGAGAATTCAGAAGTTAAATTAGCTAAAATAGTGTTAACTGGACCTACTGTGCTTCAAGAAAGGCATTCACTCTAGCAGCATAAGTGATCATCCAAAACAATTTACATGAGCCTTTGCAACACAAGTATGCTTAACAATACTACTTTACTACTTCATTTATATGAAATAAATTATATCAAACTCATCAGTTTCAGAGATAAAGACCGTCAAGATCTGCTAATGAAATTGGAAGAGCTTCTACACTGTCTAAAATGGACTAGCGTTTTTTCTACACTCACCCTTATTAGGAATCCACAAAATCATATAAAGCTAGACAATATTAGTATAACACTGAGAGATAAAATATAGAAATGAGTTAGAAAATTCAAGTGATAAAAAGGAATGGCAATACTAACTCTGTATGTTACATACAGAGAACATATCTATTTTTACTTTTCTTGGTTAAATGTAAACTTAAATATAGAAGGCTTTATGAACCTATACCATGAAGTCTACAGAAATAGCAACATCTCATAGACAGGACTCTCCAGCAATCTTAACTTCTAGAATTTTCTGACTTATATGATTAATCTCTTTACCTTAACATTTGTAGTTATGTTCAAATTTCCACATCATTGACAATTACTGCACTTGAACAGTGCATTCTGTTAAGTTTCAGGAAAATATCAGGTTCCCCCCCGCACTATAGAATATAGTATTTTACCTATAAAAACCATCAGGAAACACTTTTTAGGAAAAAAAGAAGTCCCATAGGTTTAAGTTACATAATCAAGAAAATACATAAATTTAAAATGCTGCACTTAAGACAAAGTCAAAAAGACTTTCCCTTTTAGACATACACTCTACAGAGACATACTAAAAATCCTAAGGTTTTATTAAATTAACCTTTTATATCTGTAAATAAAGAATACTAAAATTAGACATACTGATATTTGAATTGATTGCCAAAGCTGGAAAAGTTAATAAAAATTAATTTAGATCTTTTCAGTATTTATGATATTAAACATCACCTTTCAGATTGCTGACATAAAGAAAGGAAGTGTCATTGGTTAAAGACTACTTCGCTTAAGATATTTCACTGAACAGACATGGCAGTAGATAGAAATTCATCCCTATTTCACAGTAGCAGGAAATTGGTAAAAAGATCTTTCCCACAATGAGCTACGTGTTAAAAATACATAATATAATAATCAGGAAGATCATTCTCCAGTTGTTCACTTCTGATGAATCCAATATATGGAAAATACTCTTAAGACAAAATCTTCAGCTGAGGATTTCTTTTGAGAGAGGACAGCTTTGAAGCACTGACTTGTTCTTTTGGAATATATAGGCTGGACATATCCATATATGTGACCTAATGTTGGGTACACATCACAATACAGTTCTGCACAGAGATACCCAAACCAGCTCTCATACCAGAGGCAACATGGCAACACAGCATTTCAATCCTGGTTAAGTCACCCTGCTAAGAACGCTCTGTAGCATAGGAATACCTGTACTCACAATATTCTGTTCAAGAATGCTGCCTTTAATTCACCCACTCAGCTCAAGCCTGTCAAGTACCACAATCCACATATACCTTTCCCTCAGAAACTAGCTTTCCAAAATTGGGATGCATGCCTTAAGTGACAAAGCTGAGTTTTTGGCAGGAATAGAAACATGGAGATGTCATGTCATAAGGTGGTTGATGCTTCTTTCCCCCTCTTCCCTCCAGCAAAGCATGGAGGAAGGGGCAGAGTCAAAGAGGCAGACTGGGAGAGGGGTGCTACCAAGGTGCAGCAGCACCCCACTTTAATTCCTGCTCTACCCAATGTTTAAAACCAACTGCCCAGCAGCCTCAGTGGCAATTCTATTCAGGTATCACTAAGCAAGTCCACTGAATTAATGGAACATTATAATCTACCTGATTGCTGCTAATTTACTCCAATAAGTGTTAACAGTACTCTCTCCAACAGTCCTCATTCCATTTATCGAGCTATCCTTTCTTTGGCAATTTTGTTGTCTGTTAGCTAATCCCGGTCTTTATTCTCCTGTTTTATAGCCCTGTAGATAGCTTTTTGCTCTTTTCAAAAACTTTTAGATCTGCCTATGGAGCCCAGTCTTCAACAGCAGCTATAATTTCAGCTGAGCATCCAAGAATTGCTGACAATTCAGCTACAATAGGATAAACATGTACCTTTTGCCTGAGCAGGAAAGGGAAGGTGAGTGAGCTGAACATTAGTTTCTGTCCCCGCTCTGTGAGGCCATAACTCTGGAAAAAATCCTTTTTTCTTCATTCTGTCTTTCCAAAAAACAAGGCGTCCGTCTTTGGGGACATGTGGTATATGAGAAAATACAGTATTCAATGTGCTTTGTCACTAGAGAACAGTGCCATAATGTGATCTTTTTAATATTCAAAAATACTGTAAAATTATGTGGTCTGCTTGAATGATAATGAAAGAATTCAAAAATATTTTAAAAACTGTTAAGTACATAAAAGCACAACTTTTTACATGCAATATTAAAATGAAAAAGGAAATAAACTTAAAAATCTTTATCATACAGTACCCATAATTTTCCCCATTAGATTTGAATTAGCCCAGCACTTAAAGAAACACCTTTTGCCACAGCCAATTAGATAACTTTTCTTAGAGTATATCACAGCTTTCCAGGTTCAGTCTTTTGAACAACACCAGTACTACTTCCTCAAAAGACATTTGCATCACAAGAGCGTAAGTGAATAAAGTACAAGAGACAGAACTTCAAAGCAAGATCCTTTTTCAAAGAGCTTCTGGAGGATGTTTTATATTTGGAATACTTAAATTTTCTGGCAAGTAGTCCCAGTTTAATATTAGGTAACAACGGTGGGATTTTTCCACTGAACCTAGGAGGGATGGCAAATTCTATTTTAGTAACAGCTTTGAAGATAAAGAGCTGGCAGCAGCACAATTAAAACACAGGCCTGAAGGAACCAAAGCCACAGCTCTTAATGGTTATTTTCAAATTTACTTGAAGCAGGAGAGGATGTTGAAGGAGACTTTCTGAGCAAGTGCGTGTCATAAACCTGTCTGTAAAACATAAGACTAAAGCCAAACCTGCCTGATGGATCTGTAACATGTGTTTATTTCATTTAATGTTTAATCTTGATGAAGATGAAGGGTTTTATAAAAAAAAATTACAGTATATCTATATGAATCATCTTACTTCTTAGTAGGTAAAAAGGGAGGTCAGCCTCAATTTTATTTTATGCAACACTTATTCTTTTTTCTCCTCCCCATCACAATAATGAAAATAATTACTTTCAAACGTGTTCCAAAAGACTGTATGCATTATTTTAATTCTCTGGCACCCAACTAACCTAGCCCAATGGGCTGAATGAATGGCACGAGGTTGGGTTGTGAGGTTGGACCTAGACTGAGGATCACAATCTTGCCCACAGGGCTCAAATTTGGTGGCAGCAGTGTTAACTGCTGCAGCTCCTGGAACCATGGCAGCCACTGTTCACCCTTCCACCAAATTTCCATCCCTGAAAGCCTGAAAGATGACTGAGCTCTACACTCCAAAAAGAGAAGGCAGAGCTCCACACGGGTCCATAAATTTGGCAGCAGAACAAGAGGTGGCACTGTTTAGTTGTAGTGACTCCAAAAATTGCAGCAATTAATGCTGCTACCACTTGCCACACCACCAAATTTCCAGACTTGTGGGAACGCCCATGAGCCAGATGACAAAGCACCATGGGTCACATCTTGGGTCACCCTGTTTTAATGGAAAGGTCATTTTTAAATTGAAGTGTGGTTAGCAGCCTTTAACCATAAAAAAAACCATCAATGCCCAAGGACAGTACTGGAAATTATGTGGGCATATCGATACCACAGTTTTATGTAGTCCTCTCTCTCCTTCCTAAACACACACACACACACACACACACACACAGAGCGAGAGAGAGCGCGCGCACGAGAGCAGGGCAAGTGAAAGATTTCATTTTTAATGTTCTACATTCTCTAGGTTTCATGGTTTTTTGATGCAGGCCAGAGTAGGAGCTAATGGGCATTTATACACATATATTTTCATGCCGGGACACGCCGGAGATTCGCATGCGAGCTGACGTGCATTGCACTGCATCGCATATAGTTGTATAAGTGGTGAAATGCGTGTCACTGAGCAAAAAATGGTGGCGGTGTGCTTTTGAACTAAAACACCTTTGATGCGTCTTAGTTCAAAAGTGCGTCGCCACCATTTTCTCCGTGCTGACATGCATTTCGCCGCTTATACAACTGGATGCGCTGTAGCGCTGGGTGCTTTTAAAAGCGCCTGGTGCTGCAGCGCAAACATGTGTACAAATGCTGAATAGTTCTAAAATGATCAATAGTACCTGAAAGGAATCTGACTTTGTCTTCCATGAAAAGGTCCCAAACCACTGAGAGACTAAGAAAAGCCAGAGCACAGAAGGAGAACTGGAAGAGAGACTTCTAGAAAAGCACCAAACAGAAGAGGAAGCAAAGGGACAGGTGAGCAAGTCCTCTGAAATGTCAGGGAAAGGAATAGAAGGAAAAATTGTTCAGCAGTGGACAAAAAGCAAGAAAGATAAGAAAGAAAAGAAAGGAGCATTTCCCAGTTCTACTTTACTTTAAATCAGACTCTTTCCTGAAGAACGATTTCCTCTCCCCTGCTGCAGTGACTTCCTACTCAGCTGTGCGTCTGCTCAAGAGCTTCCTCACTGAGCTCTGCAACTCTTTTGGCATCCACCTCTCCAAAATCTTTTCAGTCTAACTCCTCTTTAAAATATACCACTCAGTAAGGGTAATAAGGGCCAAATATTCACAAAGGCTCCAGGTTTAAAGAGAGACTTTCAGAGATGGAAGGCCCAACATTTAAAATGTTTCTATTTTAAATATCGCTTTCATATCTATACATATATAAGAAAACTTCCACCCTACCACTCCCACTTCAGCTATGAACAAAGAATAACCGTTCTGAATACAATTTTAGCATTTCAAATAACACATTTGGAAGAATTTTAATTCATTTAAAAAACAAGTATTTGAAATATTACTTCCTTGTTTCAATTATGAAAATATTTACCTGGTGGAGGAATCAGAGGTGGAGCAGTACTGACAGTTGGAGGGGGTGGGAGGAATGGGGGGGGTGGAAGGTGAGTAGGTGGAGCTCCTGGAGGGAAAAATGGAGGTGGCTTGGTAAAATTGTCTACTTCAGCATTAGATCGTTCTGAAAGAACCTGTAAAATATCAAACTACAGTTACAATTACTACATAAAGAAGTTTTGGAACATAGGTTGTTCTCTATTTCCAGTTATCACATGAGGGAAGAGAATATACATAAGCACAAGATGCTGTCTTATATATGTATGTAAAGAACATTTTAAAATAAATTTTCTACGAACCAAAATTGAACTTTTAAAAGAAAAATATATATTTTAATTCCTTTAACAAAATTGTATATGAAATTGGAGTTAGTGTTGAGAAAACTCATCAATAACATGAGTGAAAACTGCACTGTAACTACTACTTTAAAAGTAAATCCTAAGATGATAAAACATGGAAATACAGTCAATGTATCCAGAAAGCTTTAACACTACCTTGTAGTGATACAATGAAGGAAACAGAATACTAAAACCCTAGTTAAAATTGATTTTTGAAGTTAGTCTGGAACTATCAGCACCAAAATGCCTCATTACACATAGTGTGAGCTAGTCAAACAATGAAATAATTTTATTCAAGTACCTTTATTTATTGAAAGCCACATATTCCTTCAAGTCAGTTAATTTTTAGGATTCTTAAACTACCTAACAGAATGTGAGAACTCTCTTAATAATATCAGTATTACTTTTTTTTGGGGGGGGGGGGGTGTAAAGAGTATAATTTTCAATATAACACTGCCATATAACTGACAACTATTACATTTAATTGTGTTTATATTCTATGCAGACTCAAACAAGTCAATATGGCTTCTGGAAGCATAAATCAGGACCAAGTTGGACTGCTGTTTCTTTTTACTAAGTAGTCCCTATTTATGTTGAAGTGAGATGAAATATTTTAATGCAGTTTGGATTTCACTGCAAAGAAATTTTACTGGAGTTAAATGCAACATGCTAATTTAAATATTTGTTTTTTCCCTTGGTTATTCCTCTTTAAATCATTTATTCAATATAATATAAACTTTTTTAAATCAGAAGTTGGAATGAAAGAAGGAAAAGCCTTTTCTTGGTCAGTGAGAGGATGCATAAATCCACAATATGAAACCTGTATGTTGCTGTTTTCATTGGCACGTCGTCTTCCTTCTACTCTGCTGATAGTGATAGTCTGTCCAATTACATCTATGGTACCAGACAACCTCCTGTAACACAGTACAAAACAGAATAACCAAGTAATACTCAAGAATTTATCGCAGATCTTAGAATAAGGAAAACAAATGCAAACAGTAGTTGCATCTATAAAATCTTCTATTACATACAATTCACAAGGAATTTTAAATTTCAAATAAAGCTAGATACTAAAGATTCACTTCATTTATTGAATTTCACCATCTCAGCTTTCTTATTTCTTTAGTATTCAGGAAAGTGGAAGCATAGCCTTCTCTAAAGCATAACTATTTCCATCCTCTCCTTCTATCCCTAAAGAGGTATGGAGTATAAGTTTCTGTCCTTAATTTAAAAAAAAGAAAATAAATCAGGGATATGGCAGTTAAGTGCACCAGTAAAACATTATAAAACAAAGTGCATCTTATCAGAACTTCTGCAAAAGCTAACAAAAATACATGTGTGATATACAACTACCAAAATCCAGAATATTTAGTGTTGGGGCTACAGAAATGGGAACCTGTAATGATCTAGAGAAGATGGAAGGAAGGACAGGCAAGGTAAATAACAAAGCACTCATAAAAAGTGTTAGCCAACTCTACTGTACATACTGTAGATATTGCAGCACATATCACATGAAATCACCCATTATTTTTGGTCGCATGCACCATCTAGACTCGCTGTCAAATACAACAAAGTACTAGAAGCCAGGACACCTGGGTTACGCTCTTGGGTTGTTAGTTTAGCCTTAGACTGAGAAACCATTTAATTCAAGCCATGCTTTTCTGCCTTAGCTTATCAAAATGTAAAAATGGGCCTGAGAAGCTGCCTCTAAATTGTTCTAAATTAAGATGTCATTCTAAATCTATCCAAACACTGAGTAACATCAAACACTCAGCCACTTAGTGGATTTAATTCTATTAAAAGTAAATTAACAGGAAGATACAGTTCTGCCTACACATCTCCCCAAACTTTCTTGTTTATACATTTTCTATTACTTCCCTTGCATCCCAGTGGATAATCCACTTGTACCACTAAGTAAGCAGAGCATGTGTTGGCTTTGCTGCAAGGGAGCTTGAGAGGGGTGTATCAGATAAATACTACCAGCCAGTTACAGAATACTATCATGCACTTTTAAAAGGCTTTAACATCCTTGAGCAAAAGGCAGTATATACTGAAAACAGTAACTGTTGTATACCAATAATGCTGCTAAATGAAATGGAATTTCAAGAGACTGTTACTAGACTCCCATCTTAAGTGTGTAAAAGTAGGCTGCCAAACATGCATGAAATCATACTGATCTCAGTAGGATCACCACATAGCAAAGCACACCCATTTTGCCAAATGCAGGATCAGACCTTTGACCAATAACTACTTTTAAGTATTAGCAATATTTTCCTTCTGGTAAAAATGTATGCATCTTTTTTTCGTTGTGAAGAAGGGTGTTTTTTCCATTTCTCATTTAAATATAATCAGAAGCATCCTTGTATGTAAAATTAGGGAAACATTAAGAGGTCTTCCCCATAGCAGATTATCCATATGTTATTTCACCACTAACCTATCTTGTTTACTCAAACTAGAATAAAAGGATATGGTCAACCTGCAATTTGCCAGACTGTTTCAAACAACTACACACTTCGCAATTTTTTGGTTTACAATCAGTTTTTTACTGCTCTATTTTGAGACAAAATAAGGATAAACTAACCTGTCTATAATGTGTAGATTATATAGAAGAAACTGCAAATGGCTAGACACAAGACCATGACTCTAAAATGCATACTCTAAATTTAGACACAGAAACTTTTCTTGGAAAACCAATTTTAGTTCAACTTCTCTCTGAAATACTGTCTCCTTTAATAAAGCACCTCAAGAGTTATGGACAAGCTACAAACAGACTTTTAAAAAAAGTTCTCACTTTTCACAACTTAATTATTTTAAAAGTTTGCCTTATTTACTTCAAATTTTGAAAGACTGGTGATGTGCAAAAACAACAATTATTTCTCTTTAAGAATGGAATGCTTCCTACAACTCTAAGCAGATGACAATGTCAAAACAATTATACTCAGAGCATTTATATTCAAAGAAAGAAAATGTGAAGTATCATATTAAAAAGCTATGATCCTATGATTTATAATATTGATTTAATTCCATTTTTTGGCAAGGTCCCTTCCACCAACAGTTTGAACCTGGGTTTTAGAGACCATCTGTCATTTATTGACTAAATCTCATATGACAAAGGATTACAGAGCATAAACCCTTAACTAGTTTTGGGTACACACAGCTTGAGATATTAATGTAAGTATTTCTACGCTCAGCTCCACAATACTCAGGTTTGGAAGTAGCACTCTTTCAAACAAATGTGGTATCAACTCCAGCCTTCTCAAGCAGTATTGCTTCCAGAATTAAAATAGAAGTAAGAGAATGGGATGGGAAGTGATATATTTTTGGGTGATATCTCTTATTGAATTAGCTGCATAGTTGGCAGAGATCTTAGACAAGCTTGCCGGCCAGAGGTACTGTTATGGAGACCTGACGATGAGCACCTTTTGCTCAGAAGCTTGTCTGAGATCTCTGCTGGTCCAATTAAAAAATAATCACCCCCAAAAAATCTTGCCTCTCATTTTCTGGACCAACACAGCTATAACACCACTCCAACACTATCATAACATGAGATGGGATGACAGTTTCAGTATCTCTGAAGGACTAGGAAAGGTCAGTTTCTTAGTCTATTCATTTTGGCCTGTCTTCTGATAGTGATGGGTTGCCAGGAACACACTGGCTTCCAATAACATTTCAGGTGCAATTCAAGGTGCTGTTTTTTTATCTATAAGCCATGAAATGGTCTGGACCCTACATATCTAAGGGACTGTCTTCTCCCTTAGACTCCACTGGGATTCCTATGGTCAGCTGAGTGCAATTTCCTGCAAGTAGAGGTGCACCGATATATTGGCTGCCTATCAGATCAGCACCAATAAAAGGCAAACAACATTATTGGCTACTGGCTTTTTTTGGCCGTTGTAGCTGATTTTTTTTTTTTTTTTTTTTTTTTTT